TTAGCGAGTTACGAATGTGTGTGTGTGTGTGTGAGTGTGTGTTTTGTTTAATAGGACAGCATCCGTGATGAGGGAGTAAGAGCATATTTGTCAGTATTGAAGCATGAATGAATACGTTTCCGTCTCTTTTCTGCTAAAATTCCCTGGAAAGTCAGTCACGACCGGTTTGGCAGCTTTACAGTCAAAAAGACAAACAGAGTCACCGATTGATTAGATCACGTACCCTCCAGAAGTACTTCCTGTTGGTGTGAAGCGGCACGTTTTCTTTGGTGTAGACGACCCCTTGAAGTGGTCCGAATCTCGTACCCTGAGGAATATATTCCTTGCTGAAAACACCCGTCACCTGCAGACAAAACAGGGGTCATTCACTCAATCAGAGGAGCTCAAATACACAATTACTCTGAGCGTGTGTCCTGTTTTTAGTCTAAATATGAACAATATTCTGAAATCAAGAAGCATTTTCCAGACAAGCAAAACGTATTGGGTTGTTTTCAGAAATAATGAGTCAAAATTAGGTGAGTTTTTCTGCTAATCTCACTTAATTTTCACTCATTATTTATGAAAACAACCTAATATGTTTTGCTTGTCTAGAAAATGCTTCTTGATTTCAGAGTTATTCAGATATTTGGACTAGAAACAAGACAAAATCTCGAAGAAAGCATGTTTTTTTTTCAGAATTAAAATTATATATTTTTTTACACTAAAAAAATCCTGTTTTCCTTCAATTTTTAAGCTGAATCAAATTAACATTATAAGTCCATTGAACTTATGTTATGTTAAACTGACTTAAAACAAGCGTGCATAACTTAAAAAAGTAAGTAACATGATTAACTTAGTTTAAGAAGTTACAATGACTTAAAAACATTTGCAGTCAGGACTAATTGATCATATCATTTTTACAGTGTGCTAATCTGAAAATGGGGAAGTAGAATAAGGTTATTTCAGAGCGAAATCTGCATTATTTAGCTTGTTTTAATTAAAAACTCACATTATTTTCACTCATTATTTCTGAACACAACACAATATGTTTTGCTTGTTTAAAAATGTTTCTTTATTTCAGATTTATTCAGATATTTGAACTAGAAACAAGCAGTTTTGTTTTGTTTTGCTTGTAGTGTTTCTGTAATAAATAGATGTAATAAACTCAAACCATAGACAGCGTGTGTTATGAGACGCTCAAGAGCCCAGAGAGAAACTAAAAGCATAGTTAATTGACTTCAGTGGTTTAAATATAATCATATGAAGTGTGTGTGATCTGCAAATGGGTTAAGACAAATAATCTTATCTCTGCTTTGGCATAAGACTATAATTTTCACCACATCAGCAGATTATTTTGCCTGTTTTAATTAAAAACTCACTTCATTTTCTCTCATTGTTTCTGAAAACAACACAATATATTTAGCTTGTTTAGAAAATGCTTCTTGATTTCAGATATATTCAGATATTTGGACTAGAAACAAAAACTCCAATAAAGCAAGGTTTTAGTTTTGTTTTGCAGTGTGTCTGTAATAAATAGATGAAATAAACTTTAACCATATACGGTGTGTGTCTTGAGACGCTCAAACGCCCAGAAAAGGAACCAGAAACAGTCAAATGACTTCAGTGGTTTAAATATAATCATGTGAAGTGCACATAGGATCAATAATAAGACAAATATTAATGTCTTTGCTTTGACATAAGAGTATATTTACCACATCGGCAGATTATTTAGCTTGTTTTTCCTAAACACTTACTTCATTTTGACTCATTATTTCTGAAAACAACTCAATATTGTTTGCTTGTCTAGAAAACGCGTCTTGATTTCAGATTTATTCAGATATTTGGACCAGAAACAAGACAAAAACTCTAAGAAAGCATGATTTTTTGTTTTGTTTTGCAGTGTGTCTGAAATAAATAGATGAAATAAAAGCTGACAATAGAGAGTGTGTGTCCTGAGAATGCCTAAAAGCCCAGAAAAGGAACCAAAAACATAGTTAAATGACGTCAGTGGTTTAAATATAATCATATGAGGTGCACATACAGTATGATCAACATAATCAGTCAGTGTGTTCAGATTAATAATCTTATTTTTGCTTTGACATTTTGCTGACCCCATCGGCAGATTATTTAGCTTGTTTTTTGACTCATTATTTCTGAAAACAACCCAATATTGTTTGCTTGTCTGAAACGCTTCTTGATTTCAGAGTTTTGAGATATCTGGACTAGAAACAAAACAAAACCTCTTAAGTAGGACAAGCGTATTGGGTTTAATTCTACATGTAAAAAGGCTGAATGTACAGAACATTGTAATGAGGATGAGTATATAATACCAGAATTTTAACTTCTGAGTGAACTAATCCTTGAATGATCAATCAAAGAGAGTGCGAGTGTAGAAAGCGTGATGCGTGACCGAAGGTAACACACTAACCTCGCAGGTTAACGAGTTAAGTGAATAAACAGATTTCCACTTTCCCTTCCCTACATAGAGCCTGACCTAGAAACACACTGATGTCCTCAATTCGACTCGACCCCTTTGACTTCACTGGAAAAACTTGCGTGATATTGACAACCTAAAATATTATTATTTGTTATTAAATATTTCCCAAGTGATGTTTAGCAGAGCAATGAAATTTTCACAGTAATTCCTATAATATTTTAGTCTTCTGGAGAAAGTCTCATTTCTTTTAGTTTGGCTGGTTTGTAATTTTTAAAAATTGTTATATGGTCAATATTATAAGCTTATTTAAGAAATTTGTTCTGACTAACAAACACTGTTGTTCAAAAACTTGCCTACTTAATGTAATTAAGCCTTTAAATTGCACTTTAAAATGAAAACATCTTGAAAAATATCTAGTCAAATATTATATATTGTCATCACGGCTCAGTGGTTAGCACCATGGCCACACAGCAAGACAGTCAATGGTTCGAGCCCCGGCTGGGTCAGTTGGTGTTTCTGTGTGGAGTTGGCTTGTTGGCGTGGGTTTCCTCTGGGTGCTCCGGTTTCCCCCACAGTCCAAACACATGCTCTACAGGGGAATTGATCAACTATATTGGCCGTAGTGTATGTTTGAATGACTGTGTATGGGTGTTTCCCAACACTGAGTTGCAGCTGGAAGTGCATCCACTCCATAAAACATATGGGAGAATAGTTAGTGGTTCATCTCGCTGGGGCGACTCCTGATAAATAAAGAGGTTAACCCAAAGGCAAATAAATGAATGAATGAAATCATGGAGCAGGTGGTCCACTAGAAGGCTAGGCCTGTAAATAGGTCACACCGGGGGTCAGCGGCCCACTTTGCATCATTAAAAAACCTTGTGTTTATTTTCATGCTAACAGCGCATGCATTCATCTAGTTTGTATTTAAATTATTCATAATTTAAAATAATTGAAATCAAAGGGTTTTCTATGGAGCAGTAAGAGAACAGCTTCCATGTGCAATAAAATTCTCACTTCACACTGGAAACAAGCTCTTCTTACTTAGCTTTTTGTCTTGTTTGTAGTCCATTTTCCAGACAAGTAGAAATGATTGTGTTGTTTTCAGACACATAAGTCCAAATTGAGTGAGTTTTTCCCTTAAAAAAAGCAAAATAATCTGCCAATGGCGTTGATAAAATCATCTAGCTTTTCACTTTGAATTAATGTTAATTTACTGACCCAAACTTTCAGATTATTCAGCTTGCTTTAAGGAAAAACTCACCTAATTATTATTATTTTTTTGTTTAAAACAAATTCGACTAGAAACTGCTTATTGATTTATTATTTTTATATATTTAGACTAGAAGCAAGAGAAAAACTCTTGACATGCTTTCATTCGCAGTGTGTCCTGAGACGAGAGTGGCGGTGACAGCACAATTGTGCATCGTTAGTGTTGCGTGACTAATTGGTTGGTGTTTAGCGATTAACCGCTCAGAGAGGGTTTAGGGAGGGTGCGTGCGTGTGTGTGTGTGTGTGTGTGTGTGTGCATGCGTGCGTGTGTTTGTGTGTGTGTGTGTGTGTGTCTTCTTACTCATTTATATAGTCTTAAATAACTAAAAAGTCTTAAATCAAGAAGTATTGTCTAGACAAACACCAAATATTGTCTTGTTTTATTAAGTTTTGAGCCAAAATTAGGTGAGTTTAATTAAAACAAGCACAATAATCTGCCAATGGAATAAGCAAACTAAAATCCCTTAAAAACTAAATGATTTATTTACCCCATTATCAGATTATTTAGCTTGTTTTAAAGAAAAACTCACTTCATTTTGCGTCATTATTTCTGTAAAACCTCACAGTGAAAATCCCTAAATGGAAGAAGCCAGTTTAACTTATTATTTCACCAAAAACGCTGCTTTGACTTAATGGAAAAGTGTTATGGTAACTGATTATATTGAGCAAAACTCAAACCAAATGAGTTATGAGTGAATTAGTAATATTGTTTGTGTTAACTCTAATGCTAGAAGCAATATTAAACCTTTTGAGTAGCTGCAGTGTACAGTTATTTGGACTTAATTAATTAACTGATCTCATATACCGATTGATAACTGAACTTAAAATGTTTAAGTTACAGATACTGTAAATGTTTGATGATAACAACACTAATAATATATGCGTATGATAGAGTATTTGCAACTTAAACATTTTAAGATCCACTTCCAATGTTGACTACTGTAGAAACAAGACAAAAACTCCAGCAAGAACGCATTATTTGCAGTGTGTTTGTGTGTGTGTGTGTGTTGTGTTAGGGGGGGTTGCGAGTCCATTCATTGACAGCCCAACGGCACCACGCTACCCAACTCAAGCTGTCCTGGCGCAGATCTTCAGTCCAAACGAAAGTTAATCAGTGCAGCTTAACCTACTTCTCCTGCCGCTCAATAATAGTGTTTGTGCGCTCGAGTCACAGATCACTCCATCTGCCACGTGCACCCTACTTAGGCACACTTCTGCAGCTAGGGGTCATGCAGTTGCTCATATGCACACGTATAATGAAGCTGTGCTCATTTCAAGGCAGGTTTACGTATACATATAGTGCATTTTATACACAGAGTTGTTTCAAAGTGTGTTACATAAAGAGGAATAAATGCACCATGCATTAAAAATCTGCTGCTCACCAATATGTGTTGCATGGTGGGACTTACATGACAAACAAATGCTGAGTTTTTGTCTTGTTTTCTAGTCTAATTATCTAATAACTTCTGGTTATAGATAATTCTATGGCTTATTGCCTGCTTATTATTAAGATATGAACTGTTTATTAGCACTCATTAAGTATGATCTGATGACAGCCCTAATCCTGCTCAATACTTGAACCTATTACTAGCCTATTAACCACTATTAAGCAGCTAATTGGTAGTTTACTGAGAGAAAAGTCTTAGTTGATGATTTGT